GTGTGTGTGTGTGTGTGTGTGTGTGTGTGTGTGTGTGGAGAGACAGTAACAGCCAGTTTGACAGTTTAACTCCACCTGGTCTTTTCCATGTTTGCTGGTTGTACTATATGCAAATAGAAGTTTTTGCAGCAACTCTGCTTGTGGTTTTTTACATGGCTGACATTAATTAGTACCCATACCTATATTGTGTCATCTTTGGCACTGATTAATACATTTTCCTTTACGTTCTTTTGCCTAATGTTTAATGGTTATATATACTCTTTTTAAGACTTAAAAAAACATAACATGTATATATACCTTAAGCGAAAACTTCATGAAACACTGTATGCAGTATACTCTGATATTGTCTTGTCAAACCTACTGAAAAAGAGTCAGGAAGCTCTGGCTAGAAATAAATGAATAAAAATATTTAAATAAAAAGATTTATTCAAGGGTCTTAAAGAGTTTGCTAACTGGAAGCACAGCTAGGCAAAAACCCCGAGAAGTGTTCTGAAGAAGAAAGAAAAGTTGAGTTCTTATAGTAAAAGTCATATCCTTGAGAATAATCAGTCGTGCATTTTAGGCCCTCTGATTGGTTCAGGACAGTTATAAGTCATATGTCAGGTGGTCTGGAGGATGAGTGCCAGGAAGTCTGTTCTGAGTCCTTTAGGTGTAGCCAGAGGGTTATCTGCAGGTTTGACGTATGTCTGGGCATTGATGCTCAACAGACTGGTAGTATATCTAGGTATTGATGTAGGACTAGAAAGTTCCAAAGTTTCAGGTCCCAGGCTAGTTAAAAGAAAAAGGATCGTTTCCTCATGCCTCAACCTTCATATTAATAATTTAGCAGCTTGGTTAAAATGACTCCATTTTGTATTTTCCCTACCTTTATTTCCTCAGTCTCTTCTCATTTATTAAAAATGAATGTTGACCCACTAAGTTGATTTTGCATTGCACTAATGGGGTTTAATTTGCAATTGGAAAAATGTTCATGTTACTCTACGTCAAGCCATCATTATCAATTTCCCCCTCTTTACTAGAACATTTCCTGTCAGCATACAAACCTGCTTTAATTTATCCATATTAAAAACTTCCTTGTTCCCACATTCATGTCCAACTACTGCTCCATTTCTGCTTCCCGTCACAACAAAACTTCTTAGAAATATTGTGTATTCCCTCATTCTGTCCGTCATTCTGTTAGACTTTCATCCTCACCAGTCTACAGAAATGGGTCTGTGAAGATAACCTGAGCCCTCCGTCTTGTCACTTCCAAGCCTGATTTTCTGGCCTTTACTTTCTTGATCTCTTAGCAGCATTTGGTACAGAAACCAGAAACTGTCTGGGCTTTCAGACATGCTCTCCTGGACTTCCTCCTACATCAAGACTACTTCTCAGTCTCCTTTCCTGGCTCCTCCTTCCTCCCTTTCTTGGCTTCTAAATATTGAGGTGTCTTAGGGCTCATACTGGGACCCTTTTTCTCCACACTCTCTCCCATGGTCATTCTACCCATCTTTATGCTGATGATTTCCCAGAAGTATATTTCTAGCCCTTTCCCTTCACCATTTATCCAATTGTTTAGACCAAAAATCGAGCCTTTTTTCTTCACCCCTAAGTCCATTCCATCAGCCAGTCCTGTCATCTCCACCTTCAGAATATATTTTAATGCAGTTACTTTTCACCATCTCCAATACTGATTTTCTACTCCATCTCTGGTCTGGATTAAGCAGTAGCCTTTGGCTATCACTCTTGTGCCCTCCTCCCCTGTTCTGTTCTCCACACAGCAGCCAGAATGATCTTAAAATGTTAATTAGATCAAGTCCGTCCCGTGTCCTCCCCCCCCCCCCAACCAAACCCTTCATTGGCTTTCTTTTGTACTACATTCCTTATTAGGACTTTTAAGATCCTTTATAACCTTACCTACTCAAACATCTGAGTCTCTTGTCACTGTCCTCATCCCCCAGACACACACTTTCCACTGGCAGTCCAGTAGTTTTTGTCACCTTCCAAGTTCTTTCCTACCTCAGGACCTTTGCTTTGGTGTACTTTTTCTCTTGTCTTGCTCTCTTTTTATCCTTTTGATAGCTCAGGTTGAGTGTCCATTTTCAGTATTGCCTTTCCTCTTTATTCAATCCAAAATAATCCTGCTTTTTGCCTCTCATAGCATTCCAGTTTACTTTTCCCTTAAATAGTTACCAGTTATAATACTAGATGTGTGTTTAGTGCTTTGTCTCTGTCACAAGAGTGTAAGAACTGTGAAGGCAGGGACCCTTGTCTGTTTACCTAGTGTTTAGCACGGCATAGGCATTCAGCAAATATTTGTTGAATGACATAATAATACTTCATTAATTCAATAAATATAAATTAATTAGCTATGGTTTGATTCAAGAGTTTTTTCTCCTGTAGCAACCTCTCCACTTCTCCCAAAGAGTCCTTGACTTATTGAAGCTAATCAAAAATTTTGAAGTTAGCAGCCGGCCAAGTGGTGCATTGGTTAAGAGTTGACTTGGGACGCCAGCTCTGAGCATCAGGGCCCCGGTTCGGATCCCACATGAGGGCCAGTGACGCTGAGCCCGCTACAGTTAAGATGGTGAACAACAGCTTGACCTGGAGCTGGGCTGCAGTGAGTCGCCGTTGACGGCATAGGCTGCAATGGGTCTAGCCGGCAGTGGGCGTGCACTTGAGTGAGCTGCCATGAGCGACCTTCCAATGGCCGGCGAGCGACTCCCTCACCCGGGAAGAGCGCAATGATAATACCAACATGGGCCAGTGAAGGGACGTCCTCCACAACTAGACAGCAACTTGTCCGTTCCCCTTCCCCGATTCCCCAATGCTGTTCCCATCCCCCCCAATTACCCAATAAAGTCTTAAAAAACATTTTTTTTTTGAAGCTAGCAGTTTATGGGAAAATGAGTTTTTCTGAGGTGGGCATGTGATTTGGGAGTAAAAGGGCCCCTGAAATGGTAAGGTCTGGAGGCCTAACTTCTACTTCCTGCCTGGCCTGAGGCATAACTTCTGGCCTGTGGTCCTTAGGATCCTCGGTAGAGCCCTGAGTCTCTCAGAGGGCAAACTAACTTACTGTGCTTCTGTCGCTCCTATGACCTGGAGCAGGAAGGCACGAATGGAAAACTCCCCTGAGTTGTTACTATCAATACTTGTTTTTTTTTTTTCAGTCACTGAGTAAATTAACTGTTGGGTAAATAATACATAGTACACATATACTATAAATTTTTTATAGTGAGGAATATTTATGCTTTATTTGGTTGAATGACAGAATTTAAAAATAAAATCTTTTTGACCATCATTTGGAAACTTATTTTCCTCAGGTAAAAGAATACAAAATTTTCATAGCAAAACTAAGTATTTATATACTGTATATAAGGTATTTGCTCTTTATCTAACTTTGTCTAAGGCCTTAGGATTATTTATATACCTGGAAAGCTTATGTTCACTCTTTTATTTTTGAACTTAATATACACAGGAAAATGGACTCTACTTATTTTCTGTACCATCTTTTTGAGATAGTGTCTGAATTTCCTTCATATTATAGCTGGAAATACTAAAGCTTAAAGAAGTTAGCTAATAAGTCCTATAACAATTCAGTAACAGGACTGGAAAAAGAAGACTTGTTTCTTAGCTCCCAAGAGAAGCTACAGGTTAAATTGTTCATTGACTTGGATGGCCACCCAGTTTTCTTGTACCAGAGTTTAGTTTTTCTGAACATGATTTGAAACGATAACATAGGTTGAACATAGGAGAATTTGAGCAATTCCAGTCGTCACTGCTTTCGTAAGAGTTAACTGTGTGGCAATTAGTAGGCTCTGTTTGCATGGGCTTTTGTGTATGTGTGTGTTTCTAAGGAAAGTCTGCCAATAGATCATTCTGTTCTGTTTTTCAGAATTTGGTTTTACAAAGTAGTTGTTTACATCTGTTAAATTGATTCAGCCAGTTAAGCAAAAATTTACAGGTTAAATTTCAAACAGCAAGTCAACTTCAGTCAATGAATTCATTACTTAAGGAAATTAAGTGACTGCCTGCCTGTAAGTTTAGATTTAGACAATCTTTAAAATTCACTTGGAGTATTTGCTTTAAGCACCTGTAAAAAACAATGTCAGTAATAATCTAAGTCCTACAAGAGAATATGGAGTTTTGGGTAGGGTAGGTGGACAGTGTCTAGAAGTCTGAATGCTTGTGAATGTATTACATGATACTGAAATGTTAGCTATAGAGCAGACAGTTCCTGCTTAGTAGGGATCAACAGCTTGTAAATTTAATTGACAGAAGTGGCAATTGACGAATTCTAGTTACCCTAAAAAACACTGAAGGAAAATGCATTTTATGTCCTCAATTATAAGCTATACTAATGTTGTGTTTTTAACCTTATGGAATGCTTTAGTTTCACATTTTTACTTTTCTCAACATGTTACCTTGAAAAATTTCAACGCCATGGAACAGTTGTAAAAAGAGCACCACTCTGACCTTTACACCTTTTGCCTAGTCAGCATTTGCTAACATTTTGATATATTTACTTACCTCTCTTACATGTGCATACTTGCTCTTTCTGTTCTCTCTCGCACACACTTCACTGAACCATGTGAGAATTGTAGATATGTCATTTTACCCAATCTTATAAAGGCATTCTCCTAACTACAATACCATGATCATACCCAGGGAATTTAGCACTGATAAATCACTATTGTTAAAATACAACCTATATTCCCATTTCTCCAGTTGTCTCAATAATGTTGTTATAGCTGGGTTGTTTTATTTTTTTTTAAACCAATTTAGGATCCGGTCAAGAGTCACACATTGCGTTTAGTTGTCATGTTTCTTTCATCTCCTTTATTCTAAGTATAGTTTCCTAGCCTTTTTTTGTGTGTGTGACATTGGCATTTGGACAAACGACAATGATATTTGAAAAATCTAGGCCAGCTATTTTGAAGTATATTCATCAATTTGAATTTGCCTGATGATATCTTCATGGCTAGATTAAAATTAAACGTATTCTGACAGGATTGCTATAAGGGATGTGTTTCTCTCAGTCCATCACATCATCACTGTTGGTGCTGTTAAACAGGATAACTTGATTAAGTTGATGTTTGTCAAATCTCACCATGTCCTGTTCCCAACAACCTGCCACTTAGTGGTGCTTACAGCAACTTCTTTAGGATAAAAACTGCCTTAAAAAATTTCCCTGTACACACAGTTCATTTAGGACTTCAGAAAAGGTAGATACTATAACTTATTGACATTTTACTGAATAAAGGAAGGCCTAGCATATATTGGCATTTACTACAATAGTATTTAGCTGGATTAAAAAAAAATTATCTTCCTAATAAAAGAATCAATGAATTAATCAGCTTCTGCCAGCCAGAGTCTGCAGGATACAGTACTGTTTAAACATCCATTGTGCTCCTGGCACCAAAACAGAGGTTCATTAAAATAAACAGATAATTTCCCTCCTTGGGATATTGGTTCTAAAAAGGGCAGATGATGTCCTTTGGATTCTTGCATTACCAATATTGACTTGAGCAGTGAGGCAATAAATAACTTGGAAGAGCCAGGGACATATTTCCCAGGGCATGAAATATTCTGCATGACAGGAGGGGCCGTGATTTGAAAATGAAGTTGTAACAATGGCACCTGGGATGGCTCCATTAGCCTTGAAGGAAAATAACATTTATATTTTTTTCCCCAGTCTGTTCCAAGCAGGGATGGATGTCTTAGTTGCTGTGTATTGTAGGGCACCCAGGGAGTTATAACTCAATTTCAACCAAAGATAGGAAGAAGCCTTCTGGGCTGACTTCCTGATTATGCAGGCAAAGATGGCATGTGGTTTGATTTGTCATTTTCAATTTTAAATGAATCATATCAATACACTAATTATGTATTGTCCTTCCTGTGATAGGTTCCTTTTAAATATGATATTCTTTGTGACCTGAGTGCTCTTGTGGTCATTTGGGCAAGCATTGAAACCCCAGCTATTTGTTGAATGACTCAGCTTCTCATGCTGATTTTATTACAGTGCTGACATCACTGTGCTGGTGACCTAAGGCCTAGGTGGCGGAATATCCTTATGTGAACCACCTACTAATTTTGCTTTATTTATTAACTGGGGAAATCACCCATCTATTTGACCCATATTTTTGAAATTTTGTATCATCATTTTCATTATACAGCCTCATTCTTGGTTTCAGAACATACAATAATAGTCTTTGTTGCACATTATGTCAAGTCCAAACGTCTTCCTGAATTTTTAGGATTCTGCATTACCTCTGGTTTCCATTTGTCCAGTCCAGTCTTATTTTTCACAATTCCATAGTTATCTTCTACTTCAGTTAGGCTTCTTGCTGTGTGACCTTGAGCAAGTGTTTAAATCTTTGAGCCTCAGTTGCATCATCTATAAAGAAGAGATCATAATAGTTTCTACATCACGGTTTTTAATGAGGATTAAGTGAGGTGATACCTTTTAAAAAATAATAGCCTCCGTTTAGGGAGATCTTAATAAGTACCAAGAACTATGCCACACTTTAAAAATTTGTGGTCTCAGGCCGGTTGAGTGGCGCGTTGGTTAAGAGCTGGCTTGGGACGCCAGAGGGCCCTGATTCGGATCCCACATGTGAGGGCCAGTAACACTGCCCTCCACAGCTAAGATGCTGAACAACAGCTCAACCTGGAGCTGGGCTGCCGTGAGTCTCTGGCAACAGGTAGGCTGCAGCTCCTGCTGCAGTGGGTTGCCATGGGCTACCGTGTGTAGCCAGCAGCCACCGTGAGGGGCCGTCTAGAAGCCGGGGACTTATCTGCCTCGCCTGGGAAGAGCTCAGTAATGGTGCTAACTTGGGCCAGTGAAGCAACGTCCTCCACAACTAGACTGAAGAACAAAAGGATAGCAATTTGTCTGTTCCCCTTCCCCCAATTCCCCAGCGCTGTTCCTATCCCCCAATTCCCCAATAAAAATCTTTAAAAAAAAATAGTTTGTGGTCTCTTTTTATCCTTATAATGGCTTCATGAGGCAGGAACAAGTGGTGGTGGTGGCAGCACAGGAAGTAATGACAATAGATGGCATTTACTGGGCACTTGCTGTGTTCAGGTACTTTACATGTTTCAGTGTAATCCTGTAAACAATCTTATGAGGTTGGTACTATAATTGCTATTTTATAGATGAGGAAATTTAAGCATAGAGAGGTTAAGTTACCTGCCCAAATTCACATAGCTAATGTATGGTGGAGCTGGATTTAGAATCCAGGCTATACTTCTAAGTACTAGTTTGTCTCCATTTTTTGTTTTAGATGGAGAAGCGTAGGTGGGCTAATTAACTCACTAAAACTCATATACCTCTTAAGTAGCAGAGCTGGAATATGAACCCAGATTTGTCTGATTTCAAAACTGTTCATAATGATCATACTATACTGCCTTCAGACTATTAAAAACAATAAATATTTTCTGATATGATATTGTAGAATGGATTGATTTAATGCAAGTCACATTGCTTCTGTACTCGTTCATCAATGAACGATGATGTTTTGCCTCAATCAACTGTTCTACAGGGGTGCCAGGCTTTTGACCACTGCTTGACAGATGAACTGTACCTGCTGACTTGAAACAGAAGACAAACATCTTAGTAGTTTTGTGGGTGTCTGGCAGGATTTTTGACAATCCTGGAATTCCCAATGGTGATATTTGTGTTCAGGGTTCCATTTCTGGTGATTCAGCAGAGGATTTGGCTGCCCAAGATGTCAAAAGCTGGTAGAAGACAGACGGTACTGGGGAGAGGTCATGGCTGTGGGATGAGCCAGCCTTCTGTTTCTTCAGTTAATTCTAGTACCCTCACACTGTTTATCGATCCCCCCACGGTCCCTGGTGTTCTTCCTATAACTAACTTCTGGATGTCTGACTTCTCTAAACTTCTGGCTACATGGACTAGGGATAAGTAGAGTATTTTAATCACCTATGTGGTGATGGATGTGTGATATGGCTGTGAAAAGGAAAATATGTACTGGAATTGCCCATTACCAGCTAAGCCAGTAGGGCCTAGGACATTTCTCCTAAAGGTTGTAGTCCCTAAATCCTGAACTGGATTACTAAATTTTGACAGAGGAATTATTTTACAGATATTTAATTCACACAAATGGATGTGAGCCCAGATTATGATAATTTACTTTTCTTTTGCAGGAAGGATGCCAATTCTGCACTGCTCAGTAACTATGAGGTAAATAGCTTTGAAGTGAACTTTGTATTTTCCTCGCTGATCGTTTGTTCTTTGCTTCTGAAGATAATTGAATCAGTTGTGGTTAGAAATCACTGAATTTATATGGATTTTCCACTTTAAAATAGGACAGATGGCACCATCTGGTGGACCTTGGAATATTCTAAACTTGGTAAATTACACAGTAATTCAGGGAAGCTAGGACGGCTTTAGTGTACAGTAGGCAACCTTCCTCAGATCTAAAAGTTTTAGATCTTCATTTGAGATGTCTTCATGGGATGGAAGCATCTATTTTGCAACTGTTTCTGTCTGCAAAAGTTTCTATTAAAATATGTGTGTCTTTTCCTAATTACCACTCTTTATCTTTACCTATAAAATGCTTTTATACATTATTATTGTGATCCTCATAATAGTCTAAGCATCAAAACCTTCATTAAAAGTGAGAGCTTAGTTGACCTACTGTTAAGAATAATTTAGTAGGAATTCACATTTAGAATTTTGGGGTTGTTGGGGAAAGGGAGCAAAGAAGGAAAGAAGTTGGGAGGAGGGAAGATAAACATTAATTTTGCCTACCTTCTGTTTTGCCTGGATCTTGTTTGATACTAGCAAAATCATCTGATAGGTTAATTCCAAGTGTAGAAAGAACCATTTATAGTCATTGTTGATTTTTCATATTCCAGAGACTAAACTCATGAAAACTTGTAGGAGGTTTGGGTCTCCACTGTGTGATGTATATAAAAGGTAGTAGAATTAACACAGTTGGCCATATTCCTCTGTTTCTAAAAGTTCACCTTAACTGGTTGCTGCTCGTACGGGAAAGAAATGGTTGTTGGTCAAGCCATGGTCTTTTAGGAACCTCCTTGTTCAGTTTGGATTCTGCTAGGTGTTTGGGGTATTTTATTCACTGGGGAAACATTGATTGCATTAATGGAGTCTCATCCACTGTTTCTGAAAAGGATAGGCAGGGGAGGGGTTGCATTGTATCTAGTAATGGTCTGTGAGTTATACTTCCCTCAGTTCTCTGAGATAATCTCTAAAACAAGAAAGAGATCTATTCCCCATACCTTCCTTAGCGCTAATATACAGATTTCTTCCTCATGAGGAAAGTGTACTTCAAATGTTCTATAGCATTTTTTCCTTTCCTTTTATTTGTTTTTTTTGTAAACTGTATTTTAGCATTTGCCTCATAATTTCTCTTTTCCAGAAGTAAATTATACTAGATTTTTATATTAGAGAAGTAGAATCTGTTTTTTTTTAAAAAATACTTATTTTAGGAAAATTTATTTTTAAACACAATATTTTTGAGATCAGAGATACAGTGTATATTGATAGGAAATATTTGAAATATTTTAAGTAAACTAATGAATTTGAATTATTGACTTAGATAAAAGAGCATTTTTAAAATGTCACATACTTCTTGGGTTCATATTTGTTCTAAGGCTAGGGTTGGAGGGAGGGTTTGTGGGAAGAAAAGAGGTACTATCTTATTTATCCT